GTTTATTTATTATACGTTGTGTAGAATGTTTTATTTATGGTGATGTGTTCTGTGATGGTGATTGTTATTGATCTTTCCCATTTAAATTGCGTTTGTCAAAAAATATACACTTTGACAGATTTCTGACATCAATGCGTTTTAAATGGAAAAGCTGGTCTCAATGCCAAAAATGACAACCTAAAGGTGGGTTTCTGACGGACGCCGCGCGACATTGTAGCATTGGAAATTGCACCTGGAAATATCCCGCTCACCAGGGATATTTCCACTTATCAATTTTTAAAAATTACGTGGTAAAAGACCCCTCACTTTTCTTATGTAAAATGGCTTTCAGCCAATTTTTTTAAAAATTTGGTATGTTGTAGTCCTTGATGTTCTGAACAAATGTCTCCATAGGCCCAATTTGATCCTATGTCCAGTTTCCGAGATATCGGTGCTCAAAGTTGGACAAAGGGGAATTTTAATAATTTTCCTATAATTTTTACAATAGCCTATTATAAATAAAACCCTTACTTTTTTGATAAAATTATTAGATGAGAATTTTGCTTATAGTATGGTCTTTTAAATATGAAATCCATTTTTCATACACGGTGAACCAAAAGATTTTAGAGGTTTATTTTATACAATTCAAAAGTATGCAGAATTATCGTCCACCTTTTTGTGCCGATGTTATGTATCTTAAAAACAAACGGCCTGATTTTCACAAAACTCTGACATTTTTTATATATCGATAGCTTAAGAAAAATGACCCAATAACTTGTTCGGAGGGTGTAACATAACAATGGGTATTATGGGGATTAATAATTTCCAAACTGTGAGGTATGCGAGTTCCAAACCGTACCGATTTTCAATACGGGCTGTTCGAAATTACGGGGAAATCAAAATGCGGTTTGCACCAATCAAAATTTCATGAAATTTGAGCCCAGAGTGGGGGGTTTATTTTTTTGTATCTCGCTCAGAAATTGACGTTTCCTATTAAAAGTGTCCAAATTGACCCACCCTGTATAGGGTGGTCAAAAAATAGAAAAATATACAAGGTATTTCCTAAGTACGGTTCGTAACTTTAGGATGTGATTCCTTACGATATTTTAAGAAAAAAAGTTCCCATAAACATTTGTCCGGAAATGCGTAGTTTCTGAGATACAGGGTGTCAAAGTTTTAGAAAACTTAATCGCAGAAACTTTTATAAAGAATGACTTTTTTTCGTAAAATTGATAATAAAAAAGTTTCCCATATGCTGCGAGCCTAAGTGGACACACTGTATAAAAAATGTCAGAGCTTCGTGAAAAGCTGGCCGTTTGTTTTTAAGATACATAACATCCATCGGTACAAAATGGAGGGCGTTAAATTTGCATAGGTACTTTTGAATTGTAATAAAATAAACCTCTATATAAATATCTCGATAAATATTTTAGTTCACAGTGTATAAAAAATGAATTTCACATTTAAAAGACCATACTATAAGCAAAATTCTCATATAATCATTTTATCAGAAAAGTAAGGTTTTTATTTATAATAGGCTATTTCTAAGATTATCCGAAAATGTTTAAAATTCCTTTGTCTAACTTTTCAGCACCGATATCTCGGAAACTGAACATAGGATCGAATTGGGCCCATGGAGATATTTGTCCAGAACATCAAGGACTACAACATACTAAATATTTAAAAAAATTGGCCGAAAGCCATTTTGCATAAGAAAAGTGAGGGGTCCTTTCTAGTTAAATATGCACAAGGGAAATTTCCCTGAGTATTCTTATTTTTATATTTTTTTACATTATATACTTCGGTACCTTGGTTTTGCTGAAATTGCAAATTTTGCTGCTTGCTCTGTTCGCTGGTCCTACAAAATTCTATGGCCTTGTCCAGAGTAAGCTTTTCGATCCTTAGTAAAACTTCTCGGGTTACAGAGTCCTTAATTCCCATAACAATTTTATCCCTGAGGGCCTTATCCTCAGCTGTTTGCTTCGGGTCGACGTCATTATAATTACAGGAACGTACCAAATGTCTGCATTCAGTTAGGAAATGCTCAAAAGTTCCTCCTTCTTACTGGATACGTTTCAAAAAATTATATCGTTCGAAACACTCATTAACTCTTGGATTGACATATTTGTCTATTTATATAAGATTTATGACATATTCAAATTTATTTACCTCTGTCTCTGGAACATCGAATGTAGTCATAATTCTAGCAGATTCTGTACCAATGATGTTGCGTAGAATTGAAAGCTTAACTTTATCTGCAGATTCGTTTTGTCCTGTGGCTAAGAGGTAATCTTCAAATGCGGTTTTCCAGAACTTCCATTCCACTGCGGCATTTTGTCCTTGGAGGTCGAAATCGGGGGGCAATTTTACTAATCCACTTGCTAATCCCGCCATAATTTTTTGACATTTTTTGACTATTATTTTACACTTGCGAATTTAATACTCAAAATTTCACTTTCCCGATACTTCTGCGAACGACTGCGCCATGTTTAAACTTTGTAATATTTATATTATTGTAAACTAAACAATTAAAACATTACATGTATATTTAATGAATAGCAGAAACTATTACATTCATTATTACATGATATAAGTGCGAAACATCTTGACATAAAATATGACAAATATAATTACAACTGGTTATACTAAATGCTAGTGGTTTGTCTATTATCAAACCTTAACAATAAATATTGAACAGTATCTACTTCGTTTTATAGTTATTTATTATACAAGACGGTAAAAAGATGCTTTACCTGTGAGTGGAAAATGTTGATTCACGAACGACGAAGGAGCAAGTGGATTAATTCCACGAACAGGTAAAGCTTTTTTACCATCGTGTGTAATATTCTATTTTATTCTTGAGCAACTTTATTTATCACAATTACTAAAATCATAAGCTAAAATGTGCTAAAATTTTACATAGATTATGACAAGTTGACAAAGTACCTAACAAACTGACACATTTCTGGTGTTGTCAATCATGCAACATAACATATTTCTGTCAAAAACACTATAATTATTATAAAAGATTTGAACAAGTGGGTAAAATTGATGTATGAGTGGGTAAAATTGACAAATGAGTGGGTAAAAGTTGTTCGATTTCATTACTTCGAATAAAGTGTTACTTTAACAACGAGTTTTGAGTCGATAAAATGATAGTTTACCATTCGCGATAGAATAAAAGAAAATACTATGGAGAATATACTAATAATAAAAGCAGGTACTTCGTTTTTATTCATACCACCCATTGTTTTACTGAATCCATAAGATAAAATGTCATCGATGTTTTTTTAGTAGTAATAAGTTTGAGTTAAGTTTTAATTTGAGATTTGTTGTGTACGTTTGGAAGAAGACGCTCACATATTCTGGAAAATTCTAGAAACTTCTATAGAATTCTGTTTGAAAAACCGTAAGTAATACAAAAATTAAGAATAGTGACCTTATTACTGGTTTTGAAATCGAAAAAGAAGGTCACAGGCGGTTTTTCTATACACTTCTATAAAATTTTATTTGGAAACCGTAAGTGATACAAGAATAGTGACTTCATTATTGATTTCGACATCGAAAAATAAGTCTATAAAGTATTTTTTAGAACATTCCATCGTGTTCTAGTTGGAAATTTGACTACACCACACAACTTTAGATTCAAAATCAAGTTTGAAGAAGATACAGAATATTCTATGGTAAACACACGACAGCGAACAGACGAAATTGAGAAAGTTAATCAAATGTTGGCAGACTTCATGAAGAATTGGGATGATCCAAGATAGAAAGAAATACAAGAAGAAAAAGACTGAAGATAGAAAAAACAGGACCAGCTAGTATTAAAGTTAAGCCACCATCATATGACGGACAGACATTGTGGGCCATGTAAAGACGTCAATTCGAGACTGTTGCAATGGGTAAATGGCTGGAGCTTCGATGACATAGCTACAGGTTTGATTGTAGCATTGCGTGGTTCTGCCTTAGACCTACTTACTAGAAACTCTTCTGGCAGCTTCCCAACAAAACTATAGTGCGTTTCCTGATACGTTGGAGCGTCCTTATGGACATCAACGCCAGGTGCAGCTAAGAACAAGACAACAGAAAGCGGCCTTACAAGAATTTGAAACCCACATCCGCCGTCTGATTAATTTGGCCTACCCCAAAGCAGCAACAGAGATGTGAGAACTATCGGCCAAAAACTTCATAAATTGGATATAGGTGTATAGTACAAAGAATGCTGCTCATAAACAACCCATCAAGTAGTAGCAAAACCTTGAGTAAGCCTTAGAAATTGAAGTGACATTTTTTTTTTTAATTTGAGTTTTTTCCAAATCACATCAAAACAAGTTTTGCCTCACAACTTTGTTAATTTCAACGTAATTAGATTGAAATTAGGACAAATTCGATCCTCTAACAAATGTCCAAGTAATTTTGGAATAAAAAAACAATTAAGTGAATTCAACAGCCTGGAATCTTTACATAAATTCATTTTATAACTCATGCAATAATTGCGCTTACATTAATCAAGATATTATCTACAACCTGCAACTAATCCAAATAAAAACGTTCACTTTGATTAATAAACACCCTTAGATTGAAATCTCAATCAATTATATAAATGTGGGTAAACATTTGCCTCAAAACTTCAATCAATCATGGTACCCCAAAAAGAATTATCGGTGAACGAAGTTTATTCTTGGGGCTTAAAACTGCTTGTTTTATGTTCAAAAAAGTGGTTCCGGCTCAGTTTTTTGATGTTTCTAATTAGTTTTTTCACTATTGGATACGGGTATTCGATTTATGGAAAATCTAAGAGACAAAGTAAGAATGATTTATGTTTGATTTAATAATACTAATACTTTTTTAGTATATTCCAGTGCCACTACAATCCTGGTTGACCAAGTAACATATTTTCTGTTAACAATATCAAATTTATCAAATATTCTTGTGATTATAAATTTTGAGAAGCGCAGGCAATTGATTACTAAACTAATTAATTACATTGTTTCAAAATCACGCACAAGGACAATATTTGGGTAAAATACTAATTTTACTTTAATAAATAATGATACATAATTTTATTTTAGGATTATTACCTACATATTCAATGGTATAGGTATTTTATGTTTGGCTCTAAACGTTTACGTTTTCATAAAAATTTTTGGCTGGAACTATTACCAATATTATTTTTTTAAAGATTTTCAATTTTTCTTTTTAAATTTGTCAATTTATTCAGCATCAGAACTTTTCTATTCATTGAGAGGCATGTTTTTTGATCTCAATCAAGATTTATTATCCATTTATGATAAGCAGGATGATTATCAGGCAACTACCAAAATTGATGGTATTGATATTTCTGCAGCCACATTGGCAACTGATTTAAATCTGAACAAAATCAAAGTCATCTATCTTTACAAACCACCAAAATGCCTTGCAACGCTTAAAAAAATAACCAAAAAGCACAATGAGCTTTGCCATCTAGCAGATCATTTAAACGATTACGTTGGCATTCTAATATTTTTACAAATTGTTAGCATTATAGCTAACATCGTATGGTCAATTACGGTATTGTTTGAATATGACATACGTGAAGTAGCTTTGAAGAAAATTGATCCTCCTATGACAGCATGGCTTTGTCATATTTTATATAATTTATTATGGGTTTTATCCATGATGGTAAATATCAAAGTATTTTCAAACATACAAATTATTTATTATAAACAATTTTTATAGGGTCAAACAATTTTTATATCATTGGTGGGACGTGCTTTGACACTAGAAGGCCGTAATACAAGCATTTACAGCTATAAAATTTTGGAAAATAAATGGTTCCAAGCTCAAGACGGTGAGGAGGCTCTTATTAAAAGCCAGCTAATATTGTTAACTAAGCAAGCTGAAACAAGATGTCCAGTATTGAGCGCTGCGGGATTTTTCGTAGTCGATTTGGAAATTCTAGGATTGGTCTTGGCCAATGTTTTCGCTTTCGGAATTGTTGCTGTACAATTTGTTTTAAGTGAACATTAATTGTTTTTAGCTTAGTTTAGTAATTAACTTGAAATTTTGTCGCTGCTGCTACTGTGCTTGTTTTGCGTGACTGTAAAGTATAGCTAGGATCTCGCTCTCTTTCTGGTGACTCTCAACCTTCAAAGGAGAACCAGGAAAATTACATTTTTTTTAAATTATAAAGTCAATTAGTTTAATAAAAGATGTTACTATCTGTTGTGTGAGTTTTAGTCATTATTTCAGTGAACCCGGAATCCGTGACAATATAATAAATGTTGCCACCAAAGTCAGTAGCCGGTTATCTAGTTTAGCTGACGGTTATTTAGTTATTCTGTCGGTTAACTAATGATAATTATTAGTTAACCACCCACAGCTTAACACATAATAACATTCCACTGATAAACCGATCCTTAATTTTTTCATGCGAAATAGTGTTCACACAGTCATGTCAATTCACTGGACATTTTCTTTATGATTGAAACTTTTTAACAAATAGAAAATAGGTAGGTACTCACTTTCGTGTTCTGTGGTATGCGCCCCTTCCTTAATATAAATATCCAATTTAATAGGAAAAGGCATATTTCTCTGCAATTTGATTCTTATACATAATCCTATTAGGGTTGCTAAAGAACAATGTGGCACCGTAGGATTGAATTCTACTCGCACTACACTTATATTAGCCCCAGTGGATTCTTTTATCTAAAAAAAAAAAAAAACATTTACCTAGTGGTCATTATAATTATTTAATTATTGCAAGAAATATTACTTACAAAAACACCTTCTTCGTAAATAACATTCAGTTCTTCTAGGGTATTAGGTTTCTCGGGGTCTTTTATATTCCTTAGTAGATCTGTAATGTAGAAATGTTAGCTTTAGTACTTTAGTTGTATAGAATAAAGACATATCAAGTATTGAAGTTATTTACTAGAACTGACAATGCGTGACCACTGGGCATCATAATAACAGGTTTCGTGATGCCCAAAACAAGTCCAGAGAAAGCTGGAATAGCATTGATGATCTCCAAGATAAGAATAGTCATCCAGCCAATAAAATTCAAGTGTTAATTTTTAAAATAAAATCAGATTTTCGATAATAAATTTTCGAAAATAGAAAAATTCTTGACAGTGTGGCGAACCAAGTTAGAGGTGATTTTGGGAAAACACAAGTGTTTTGCCAAAGCGCCAACACACTGTTAATTACTCATACTATGAGTTTTGTATTGCTCTGACACGGTCAGATTTACGCAATACTTGGTGGTTTTGCTTTGTAAGACAATGGAGAAAACTGAATTCTCTTTCATTGGGTACTGTCGCTAATTGCAGACCGGTTTCGGACTTGTTATGTCCTCGTCAGTGCAATATAAGCGAAAAGCACACCAACCAGAGATAAATACTATATAAACTGTCGAGAATGGAATCTCAGTGTAAATTTTGTTGTCAACAAAATTGAGCCAAGCCAGCGCCATCTACCATATCGGAAAATCACTATTTACTGGTTTTGGATCGATGCTACAGACACCTACTTTACAAAGGATTTTTTATGATAGATGGCGCCTTGTTCGCATTACTGTCTGTTCAAGTTCGTTTATTCTGGACTTTGAGGCTTAAATTAATTGATAATTTGTTAATTAGATCAAAAGACAGTTTCTTTATCGATGGTTAAGGGTATCCTTAACATATTTATTCAAAGTTCTGATTAATATTTAATTGAACCTGTCATTTATCTAATCAACAAAGATAAAAATAGATATTCTAATCTATAAAGTTTGAAGTTCTTCTTGAAACACACAAAACAACTTTGAAATCACTTAAGAACACTTGACAACACAAAGAAAGATGAAATGCAAGACCGGCGAACAAAAAACATTATGAATTATTAGTTATGATCAAATGAATATTTTGGCATATTGTCATATGTTGACATGTCAATCTCATGTCAATGTTATCGACATCGGACGTGTTCTTGATGTGCTGGTATTTTCCAATTTTGACAATTCTGTGGCTGTCAGCGACATCTAGAAAAACGGAAAAGAGTTATTATGTGGTTTATAACTGGCAATGAGAGATCGCAGGGCCTGACACCAACTAAGAGAAACAGTTTTGCAGGAGATTCAAACACTAGACAAGATGTAGATCTTAAATAGCGTGTGGCTCCCTCTCGTAGAAGTCAAACAAAGCAATTTTTAAATTTGAAGGATTTATCATTTACAAAATTTGCTTAATGTTGAATGAATGATGAATGAATAAATAAATGAATGAATGAATAAATAAAAATAAATTATCACATATTGAAATCGAGTTAAATAAACTTCAATACCTTTTATTGTATGTACCATATTTCTTTCTTCAAAAATTTTAACAATAATTGGTTTATTTATTTTGAAAAATGTTTGGTCCACAAAAAATATAAAAGAGTGGTCAGCCAAATCTATACTACAAGCTACAAGGCAGTCAAGCAATAAGCTTCCTTTACCAATTCCCAACCAAAGTTTGAGCAAAAACTTATTTATGAAACTCTTACATTTTACCAAATGACTTGAAAAAAATAATTTGAAATTATTTCGCAGAGGTATTGTGAAGTTGCTGGAGCTTAGTGTTAAAGGGGGTGTGACCCTAGAAAATGACTTAAGCTACTTAAATCAAGAAAAAAATTCTAAAATCTCTCGTGAAAACCGCAGTCCTGTATTCAAAATAGTTTCCGAGAAAATTCCTTGTGAAGATCAATTATGCAGGAAATTATGATGTCATAACCGCCAAAATCGCAGTCTTCTGGTCGTTCAGTCGTCAGTGAACCGTACCCTATATTTTGAGTGGTTGCAATTCGCTCTAGGAAATAATTATCTTTTGTTTTCGAGAATTCTCACACGTGTTAATACTGTCCCTGAAAATCCAGTGTGACGTCACAAAAGCGTAGTTGTAACTTTAAACCGCTCTAACTCGAAAACGGACCATCGTAGCAAGATGCGGTTTGAATATTTATTCTTAGATTTTTTTGCAACTAAAACTTTCATTTTTGGGTCACACCCCCTTCAAGGGTTTTAACTCGTATTTTAATTTTATCTCAAAAGGACCCCGCACACTTCTTATGGGATTTCTGACCGCGGTCAAATTTCACCAAATTTTAGTATGTTATAGATCTGACCATTCTGATCAATAACTACCATGGGCTCAACTCAATCCTATGACTAGTTTTTGAGATACAGGGTGTCCAATGTGTGAATGTCCAATATGCATTATTACACCATGGAACGCATTTTCGATGAATATTACGATAATTATTAATAATTATTATTATTTATTTATACTATACACTACAGGCTTTACCCAACAACCGGGCTCAAATGCAAGAATTAAACTGCTGGCCAAAAAAAAACCGGTCAGGAAATTTTTAACACCTATTCAATTTGTGATTACTTTTCTAAAATTATTTTTTTTTTAATGAGGTTTTTGGTATTCGAAAGTCCATGTTGAATTTCAGGTGAGAAAAATATTTTTTTTTCGAAGAAATGCAGTTTTCAAGTTATATACAGGGTGAATAATAGACTGATGCAAAGTACAAAAAGTTTGGAAGTCTGATGCCATATTGGCAATTTTCTTTTTTCGGATTTCCGTATACTTGATTGGATGTCCGGACGTATTGGCCAGTTTTTCGATAAGTGCCCTTTGGCAGCAGATACACTACTAAATGACAAAGTTGGCAAAATCTTGTAAGCACAATGTTTAAAAGGCTGTAGCTTGAAAACGGTTGCATCGATTTCGAACATATTTGCAGGTTTCGAAAGCTTTTTTTTTAGAGGTTCCACGACTCGCTCGCTTTTTTTGCAGCTGGCCCTGTTCACATTATACCAGGGGTCAAGAAAATCATACACCTCAAATTAGGCAAATTATGATAATTGTTCTTTTTAAAAATCTATTCAAATTGGTTTATATGCCTTTTGTTTGCTTTCAAAATTGGTTAGGCGATACTTTGGGCCAATATCTCGAGACGATTTGGACGGATCGTTTTTGCAAAACCTCCTGAAGATCCATTTTAGCACCACCATTTTGAAACGATGTGGCTTACGTTTTAATGGATTGTGAAACGTTTTCCCCCACTGTAAAAGTGTCCCGGAACCTTTAAAAAAATAATCTTTCGAAACCTGCAATGCTGTTCGAATCCGAGAAAAGAAATATGACAGACATCCAACTTTGTTCTTTTGCATTAGTTTATTATTCACCCAGTATATTACCTACTTGAGAAATGCATTCCTTAAAAAAAAAAAAATTCTAATGAGATATACATGGGCTTTCGAATACCAAAAACCTCATTAAAACAAACATTATTTTGAAAAAGTTATTACAAATTGAATATGGTGCTAAAAATTACTTGTCCCGTTTTTTTTTTTGGCCAGCAGTTTATATGACTGAGATAGGGACTACTATATAGCCTACTTTCTTGAGCCAGTTGTTCCGAGTCTTGCTCCATATGTAGTCCCTAAATTCTGAGGCACAAAAATAAGTAAGGTCCGTTTCACCAGGGTTCATACTTTTGACATCGAAAATGCCATAATTTGGAAAAAAAGGGTTGTCGTAGATTAATTCATGACATATTCAATTTTTTTGACAAATTAAAATGAATGACTTCTGGTTTAAGAACCAACAAACGTTTTTGACGTCATTGATTTGTTCCAGTCAATTTCCATTTGTTAAAAAAGGAAGGCAAACAGTATGAACCCTCACGAAACAATGCTTACTGACAATATTAAATTAACAATAACCATGGTTATGTGATAACATTTTATAACCAATTTTTGTCTTTAGAAAGTTGTCAAAATTAGTCAATGCTTAAAAATGGCTTTTAGATTGCAAATTCAGTGTTTTATATGTGAAGTGGAGGGTAATCCCAGACAGATGGCCATCCTAAGGCAAAATGATAACCAAAAAGTGAATATTGCCAAGAGGCGAAGAGAAGAACTTTCACTACCGGCGGCAATGGAAGTGAATGGTAATAATAGTCGTCTATGCCTAAATTGCAATAGAAGCATTTTAGAGAAAATTCATGCCTATGAAGAGGACGCCGATCCAACGATAATGAATCTACCTTTAAAATATAGTGCACATCAATGTCTTATTTGCGAAAATCCTGAAAACATTCAACAATTATCGCTCGAAACAAGAGTTTCAACCTTTATACAAAAAGGTATATACATACCCAGCATCTGTAGGATTTGTCCTGTTCATCTGGACGATAATGGTTTTTTACTTTATCCCGTACAAAATGGAATTCGATCCCTTAGAAGGCCTTACGAATTAAAAGGAAGAGAGCTTTCTTCTTTCATGTCCAAAATGCAAGAAAGTAGCCAAAGAGATGTTATCTTTTCACATGAAAATCATTTTAGTGATGAAGAACTATGTGCATTATCTTCTTTAGATAAGGCGCAATTTCGGGAGGTATTCGATGTTTGCGCTAATGTAAATATTTATGGGAGAAGTAGAACAATTACGAAAAAAGATTTATTATGTTTTTTATGTAAACTAAGACAAGGACTTTCCGATATTTTCTTGGCAACTATGTTTTCGTACAGTAGTCGACAATCTGTGTCTTTAGCTATGAACAAGGTGAGAGAGTCTTTAATTCTTAATTTTGTGCCTCAAAATTTAGGTCTTGCCCATATAAATCGGGAGCAGTTTATTGCACAACACGTGACAGTTTTCGCTAATCAATTATTTAATGACGAACCTGAAAATCCAAAAGCAATTCTTTGTATTGATGGCACCTATCTACATATTCAGCGCAGTAAAAATTTTCAAACTTTAAGACAGTCCTTCTCAGTCCATAAACATTGTCACCTTGTAAAACCAGTACTTATGGTCGCCCCAGATGGCTATATTTTAGACGTTCATGGCCCATTCTTCGCAGATTCAAGGAACAATGATGCAGCAATTTTAAGATGTCAATACGATCGAGATCAAGAACTTCAACAGTGGCTTCAACCGGGTGACGTATTAATTGTTGATAGAGGCTATCGTGATGCCCGTCAGTTTTTGAACAATGTTGGCATATCGGTACAAATTCCACCAGCTTTACAAGGCAGAAATCAATTACCAACTGCAGAGGCTAATGCTGGCAGAATTGTTACCAAACAGAGGTGGGTAATTGAAAGCAGAAACGGACATATCCAATCAATATTTAAAATATTTCGTAACATTTTTCCAAATACGCAAATAAATAATTTGGGAAGCTTTTTCCGGATTGCTTGTGCCCTAATTAACCGTTTTCGTCCAACGCTACACATGGAGGAAGCCACGGAACAACTGGCTC